AATGGTTCCATTGGATAAGTTGCTTAAACATTATTATTATTATTTTTGCCTTTCCCAAACTTTTCATTGCTTCTCCTAAGTTCATTTTCATCTTGATGTGCAGTTGATAAAGTGTGACTTTGCAAATCTCAATGGAGTAGTATTTGGGGAACAAGCACAATAATATCACAAACATGTATTATTTATAATATGCTGATGATGGATATTTAATTAGCAGGGGGAAAATGTTAAACCATAAGTGACAAAAAGTTCCCAATCAGGCCTAGCAAAGTCGTAAATGAAAGCAAAATTAGACCCTTTAGGAATCTTTGGGATTTTATTTTTCAAAAAGTAGTGCAATTTTACATAATGGTGAGATTAGCTGATATTCATGTTCAGTTTATCAGTATATTGCAGTTAGGAGTATGTAAGTGAATAAATGGTGAGGAGGAAAGAATGGGGGCAGTTACTTTTAACACAATTGGTTACAGTTATATTCCAAAGCTCCCACCCCAATAATTTGTTCCCATCATCTCTATATTTGTGAAAAGAAACATTTTACAGTCCTGTGTCTCAAAAATAACTACCCTGACAGTGATCAGTGAGACAGTGAATCTGTTCTGTGTTTTAGGGTGGGTTTACACTGTAGAAATAATGTAGTTTACACCACTTTGACTCCCATGTCTCCATCCTACAGAATCTTGGAATTTGTAGTTCTGTGAGGCCCCAGCACTCTCTGGCAGAGAAGACAAAAGACCTTGTACAACTACAGATGTAAGTGAATCCGGATTCCAGGATTCCATAAAATGGAGCTAGAGCACTTCAAGTGATGTCAAACTGCATTATTTCTACAGCATAGATGCACCCCCAGGTGTGATCTTTAAAGGAGTATTCAAGGTGCTGAACCTTACCCACAAATAAGACTACCACATTGAATAGCTCTGTTAAAAAGTTCAGATGAAACTCCACCGGCCACCACTGGTGCTTGCAATAGTTACTTCTTTCTTTCTTTCTTTCTCTTTCTTTCTTCCTTCCTTTCTTCCTTCCTTCCTTCCTTCCTTCCTTCCTTCCTTCCTTCCTTCCTTCCTTCCTTCCTTCCTTTCTTTCTTTCTTTCTTATTTATGTTCTAGGATGTGAGCCTTTCTCCTCCATACTTACAAAAGCTCATCAGGTTAAGCATCAGGTATGGCATGTACCAGTGCGTGAACCATTCATCTACTACTATTTAGTGAGGCCACCCCCCACTAACAATAAAATTACAAAGAAATGTTAAAGGAGATACATTGTCTCTCAGTTAATTGCAACCATTACATAAGATAAGTGTAGAATCCTAGAATACTAGAGTTAGAAAAAAACCACAAGGGCCATCCAGTCCAACCCCCTTGTCATGCAAGGACTCACAATCAAAGCATTCCCGACAATGACCATCCAGCCTCTGTTTAAAAACCTCCAAAGGACACTCTATTACACTCAGAGGCAGAGTATTTCACTGCTGAATAACTCAGTAAGTTCTTCCTAATGTTTAGGTGGAATCTTTTCCCCCTGTAGCTTGTAACTGGAATGTAATTAATATCATTGTTGCTGTGGTTGTTGTTAAGTGCCATCAAGTTGACTTCAATTTATGGTGACCCCATGAATGAGAGATCTCCAAGCCCTGAAATTATGCCTTGAACAGGTTTTGCATACTCAGGATCGTGGCTTCCTTGATTGAGTCGATCCATCTGCAATGCATTCTTCCTCTTTTCTTACTGGCCTCCACCTTACCAAGCATTATGGCTTTTCTAGTGAGTCATGTCTTCCTCATGATATGGCCAAAGTATGACAGTCGGTTTAGTCATTTTGGCTTCTGGGGAACGTTCAGGCCTGATTTACTCTAGGACCCCTATATTTGTCTTTTTAGCAGTTCATGGTATCCACAGAATTCTTCTCCAGTATATCTCAATTGAGTTGATTCTCTTCCTTTCAGTTTTCTTCGCTGTCCAGCTTTCACAATCATACATAGCAATGGGAAATATGATGGCATGGACAATCCTAATTTTAGTATTAAATTATATATCATTGAATATTTTACTTTTCAATGATACACAATTACTTCTTAACTAGTGGCAATGCTGGCCAACTGACTTGGCCAGTGGGGGCACTGCAAATGGAAATTTGGCATTCCTCAACTCACCCTGGCAGGTTTCTTGCTATTCTTTGAAAGCCGCTGCTGAATTGCACAGGTCTCCAGAGCTGAAATTGGTTGCGTTGCCCAAAACTGATAGCTGAAGTTCTCCATCCTTGCCACCTTACCCATCAGGCAACTGTTTCCAAGCAAACCCACTTACAAAGTAGTAGGAAAAGGGCAGGGGCAATGGGAACAGCAGAGAGCAGCAGCAACAGCCCAAATGCCTGTGCTGCTTTTATGAGCCTGAATTTCCCTGAAAACCTTGCACCAGGGTCATAGAATCATAGAGTTGGAAGAGACTACAATCCAACCCCATGCCATGCAGGAACTCACTTAGAGCCAGATTCTGTGAAAACAGCTAAAGGGTCTAGGCGGGTCTAATCTGCACTGCAATAATAATGCAATGTGACACCACTTCAACTGCCATGGCTCAATGCTATGGAATTCTGGGATTGGTAGTTTGTTGTGGCACCAGAGCTCTCTCACAGAGAAGGCTAAACATCTCACAAAACTACAAACCCCAGGATTCCATAGCATTGAGCCATGGCAGTTAAAGCAGTGTCAAACTACATTATTTCTGCAGTGCAGATAAGACCTAGGAAATCCATTTTTCTAGACATCTTTGTCCTTCTCACAGAACCTGGCTCTCAAGACCCACAGCCAAAATTTTTAAGGAAGTTTTTCATGGGCTCTCTGCTCTCACTGCTGCTTCTGTCCATCTCCTCCTTTGTGGGTGGGAGGCTGTTTTTCTGGTGCGCAATTGAGTGAGAGCAGGGAGCAAACTTCATCTTCTCTTCATTCCCTATGGAGGAGCTCCTATGCTAGTGTGATGAGAGGCTGGTGCTTTGCTTCTGGCCCAAGCAATGAGAGAGCTTGGGTTGCTCCTTTTTTGGTGTGTGCATAGAAATTATTTTAAAATAGCATGCTGTTTGTAACTGGTAACTTTCCAAGCTCTGGGCAACATAATGGACGATTTGTAACCAACACAGACCTTTACTCATGGATCATGGCCTGCCAGATGCTTTATATGCTACTTACCTATTATTGCAGTTCTAAGAAAGTAGCAAATCTGGTATTTATGGGATTCCTTGTAGACATCCAGATTTGGCCTAATGGCCATAGGTACTCTCAGCTTGCAAATAATAATTGAAGGGGCCACTGATAAACCACTGATAGACTCCCGGAGGGCTCTTCCATATGATCTGACAGGAACAGGAAGGAGAAAGCAGTCTGTAAATTATAATACAGCCAAAACCTCTTATTAATCTTATTAATATGGGGCTTCACCATGGTTAATCATGGGGGAAGAGAAGGCCCCTTGCATATTATTAATGGGCAGACAGTCTCATTGGTGTAAATGTTGCAGTTAACCCAGAGATGCATCTCAAAGCAAGCCAATTTCAATGAATTCCATTGTTCACGTAGCTCAGCTTCTTCACCTGTTTAACTCTGCCCTGGGTATTTTCTTGCACAGCACAAAGTGTGAAAACAGTTGAGAAATTGTCCAATAAAATTCACAGGCAGGGTGAGGGAATATTTTAGGATTATTGGGAGGAAATGCTGATCCATTCCCATGCTTGTTTACTGTGGTGGGAAAAGTATGGCCCATGAATGATTTAAGTGTCATTCAAAAAACAAATCACTCTGGACAGTCTTTTAGGGACCTTTTCTGCAGCCTTCCGCCTTCCCAAAGACCCCCATAATGCTGAATTAAAAAAACAAACATGGGTGTTTTCCCAGCCTAAATCACTGCCAAATGCCCCTAGAATCTTCCAATGTTGAAAAAATGTATCTGTTTATAGATGATTTTAAGAAATAAGCAAGTGTTGAATGTATTTAGTTTTTTGAGAGGTGTGACTGTTTGCATTGCTTTTTTTGGGGGGGGGGGCACCTTTGTTTATTTAGTTATTTTTTCACCCACCCATACCCCAGCCAAAGTGGCTTTTTAATCTGTCTTTGACATTAGTGACAGCATAACATCCTCCATAGCACCTTCCACAGATTAGTTTCCACCTTCCCTCTTCATCCTTGGCTTGCTTCTATTGCTGAAAACTGAATCCAAAGTGTAAACCATAGCAGTCACTTTATTGAACAAGGAGGAGAGGAAACGTCCGAATCTTGTCCTTCCCAGTAGGCTCAAGCAAAAGCAAACTGCTGCAGCCTCTCCTAGATTGTCTGTTCTCATTAATAACTTTGTAACAGTGATCCCCAAACTTTGATTCTAAAAGGGTTTTGGACTTGAGAATTCCAGGGCATTGGCAATGGTGACCAGGGCTTCTGGGAGTCGAAGTCCAAAATACCTGGAGAACCAAAGTTTGGGAATCTCTGCTTTATAAAATCATTAATGACATCTTGACCACACTTGGATGTTGCTTGGCCACATTTGTCCTGGCTTTCATAGGTGAAATGTTGGAGGGTATGTAATGCTTAGAGTCCCACTCAGGATGAACTTCCATATTATGGAATTTACTATAACATCAGTGACTACATTCATACAGTGATGTGTGCAGCCATGTCATTTTAGACTTTGGATCAAAAGGCTTTAGCAGCTCCCCCTTTAGATGATGATATGTATTATTAGCCCATTTTCCTTCAAAATGAGGTAGAATCATAGAATCATAGAATCATAGAATCATAGAGTTGGAAG